ATATATATATATATATATATATATTTATATACATATACACATAAATTCACATATCCATATGCCAGCCCATATACACATTTTATACATACAATTATGTACCTGCACAGATGTCTGCATATAATCATCCTCATATCTAAATGTACGCCAATGTTTACCATCGTATATAAATATCTACACACATATATATATATATATATACCAACATTAAATATGCCTACATTAAATAATGTATCTCACATTATTCCTTATCACCCTATATGTCACCTGATATAAAGTTAATACTGACCTTCAAAAATATAAATTTCAAATTCATTTTTTTTTCACTTTTTTTTTCACGCTAGGTTCTTCCTGTGTGTTAATAATTAATTAATAAGCACTAAGGAACACTTAGCAAAAACCAAAAAAATCAGGTCAGTAATAACATAAATCAAAATGAGAAAAATAATTTGAATGTACATATGAAGATGGCAAGAGAAAAGTCAGATCTGTAATCTATATCTATAAAAAAGATGTATGTTTGTTTGTCTGTGTCTCCGACTGTCGGTCTGCATGTGTACGCTATATAATCACGTTCACATTTCTTGACCTATTTGGATGAAATTGTACACACATGTTGCAAATTTAGCAAGGTAGTTTAAGACCAACTTTTTAATCTTCAAGACGCCCGGGTTTGACAGAAAAATTAATAAAACTGAAGGTGAGTACGACTTTTGCAAAAACAAAAGAAAGTTACACGCGAAGAAAATTTTTACTGGATGGTCTGGTGCTCTTTGCACTTGACGCAAAACATCAGCTCATATTACAAGGTTTATGTGGCGTGCTTGATAGTTTTCCTGCGACATTGGCTTCACATAAAAAATACCAAAAAAAAAAGGAAAAAATCGTGTTTTTCGTACTACTTAAAATAAAAACTTAAATAATTTCTTCATTTTTTATCCGATTTTCTTGAAACATGTCGCAAAAAATTGGCACCATGCAAGAAATAAGATTTGGTTTTAGTCCTGCTCGCTTCCCCACGTATAATGATAAACCACGAAAAACTGTTCAAAAAAATCATTTTCGGCAATAAGTCCCCGATGAATGTTTGGTTTAGATTATTTCATTTAAGCGGACGAAATCTGTGACAAGCTAAGTCCAAAATCCGCTTTTGCCATTTAGTCAATAATTTCTTCATGTGATTCCATCCTAAATTGGCATTCAAACAACCTTTGATACAAGGATTGTTTGAGAAGGATTACTGAAGCGTTAAAATGGAAAAAATTCTCGACGAACCTCTTATTAACCCCAGCTTTACAGTAAAAAAGAAGGAGGGGGCGTTCATGCGTTTGCAGTTGAATCAAGCTCTGACGCTTCATCTCTGTTTTTGTTTGATTATTAGCTTTGTAAACAATGCCATGCTATTTGAAAGTTATTAGAGCCATAGGAAATTAATATGTATCATAAATAGCTAAACCATTGAAACAATTTAACCCCGAGCAACGACCACAGAAGAAGATTTTATCGATGGAATTCCTTTATTAAGAACAATCAAACGCGAAGAACATACTGTAAAAAAAATGAGGTGGGAGTAGCTTAGGAAAACCAACGGATGATGCATGCAAGCGGGGGGCGTAGGCAGACATTTGTAGACAGGGGGTGCGGGTATACGAGGGGGGTTATACAATTGCAGTCATGTAAACCCGGGAAACACCGGGTATTTCAGCTAGTAATATTTATAATAATCAAGATTAAAATAGTTTGAATAAAGCGATCTAGTCACATTGATAATACCTCATGTAAAAAATTATATTTATTATAGACTAGCTTAAAAGACGCGTTTTTAAAGTCACACTTTGTGTTACTTGAAACTGAATATAAATTTTTAAAAGAAACTTTTAAAACCACTAATTTTTTCAGGTATTTAAAATTTGAATTTTTAACTGTTCCCTCCACATCCGGATGCAAATCCCAATGCTGGATGTTTAAGTACCAGATGAAGGGTAGATTTTCAATGCCAGAATCATCCTGATTCCAAAAACGTATAACATGTCTATGTAGAAGAAGTGTGGCCCGAGTTAAATTTGTTTCAGACACCCGGACGTAACCACAAAATTTTCCCTTTATTTATTTAGATATATTTTTAGACTTTTTCTTAAACTTTAGTAGCTATGTGACTAACTGAATAAGTACAATTTTATACAGTTTTTATATAAATTTAGTTGTATTTTAGAAAGCTATACAAAATACTTATTGTATCTTATATCTTTTTTTCTAAAACGTTAGATTAGTTCAAAGGTTTCATTTTTTTTCTAATTCTCTCAATGTTGCAGAGACAAAATAACTGAACGGATATCATTTTTCCCTTCTATTCTAAAATATTAAATTCATTCGAAAGTCTATTTCTCAAATATCTTATTTTTAAAACCCCAGTCTGTCAAGGTTTTATACAAATGATAGAGAGGTTAAGCAACGTTGATTCGATTTATTTTCACTTTGACACCTTCAACTAATTTCTTCTCATCGACACTTCTTAATAAAACATATTTCAGTTTTTAACAGATAAGAAGTCCATGGGTTTTGAATAGAAAACCAATTGGACACATGGTCCAATGGATAAAGACGTTGGCTCCATTCACTTGGACCCAAAGAGTTGTGTTCAATGCCAGGCCACAACAGTGATGAACTGAACCTTGGAGAGTTAAAGTAAAAAAACTGAATCATTCAGAAGAGATATGGTTTGTGGAACTAGAACAATCTACTCCCGTGGACGGAATAAATGGGTTCGGTTCTAAATTCGAATCACCTGAGGAAGGCCGGAGCGTACAACGGCTGAAACGTTTAGAATATAGCAATGAGGATAACAGTGTAAATAATGCAAACAAGCTTTTCTAGTTTAATTAAAGTCAGAAAATATTTTTAGGTTGTAAGACTTTTTGAGATAATCATGATTTAGTCATACAAGTCTTACTAATTAATCCATAGTTGGGAGAAAAGAGGAGGGTTCATATATTTCCCAAGGGTATCTGTCCCGTTCCGAGCCTCTAATCCATTACACCACCGAGCATCCAATTGGCATTCCTAAGCGGTCACCCATCTAGGTACTGATCAGAGTCGACGTTGCTTAACTTCGGTGATTGAAACCATCCGTCTAAACACTCGCTCTTTGACATTTGCGCAAGTCGTCCTATCTTTTTATATATAAAATTTATGGTCGCTCTTAATGCATTTTCTCGTGGTTTCCAAGAGACAACCTACAGATTGTATGTGGAAGTCAAAAATTGCAAACTCTGATAATTAAAATCAATCTTTCTCTACCTATAGAAATACTTATTTGTCATCGTAAAAACTACAAAGATTGCGGAGTAAGAATACATTTAGTGGTTAGTCGTGAGAAACAGACACCTTACCTGCGTACACAGGTAAAATACAATCGATGTTAAAATACAATCGTAATTATTATTTCGCCTCCACTATGTAATGTTTATTATTTTCCCTGAAATGTCGATATAATTATTATTTTCCTTCTAATGTGCAATATTATGTTTCGTTGTCTATGCATTAATTTGAATAAATGAATATTTTGATGTATTTATTTCTTAAATCATACCCAGGAAATGTGATATCATGGGTAGCCATGATATCACATTTCCTGGGTATGATGATAAACTACATCCGCGTCCTTGGTAAGACGTCCAGCAGCAAGGCCTCTGATCAGGAGCGTGGAACCACCTCTTAATTGCTGGTGGTAGCACCTGTTAAGGTCCCAGCTATGGGCAAATAGTTAACACCTATGTAACAATAGGTTTTAATACAAGAAATACTTTGTAATAAAAAAAATCAATTATTATCAATAATGGTTTTTGAAGGAAAAAATATTATCTACAAATGTGAAATTTAAAACTTTTTACGAAAATAAAACAATCCAAGATTGTAAATTTCCTAAAAAGAAGTTGGATTGTACTAAAAAATTATGAGTAATTGAAAAATGGTTCAAATATATATGTATATATACGCACCTTTTTTACCACACTGTCACTATGAATCTGTTTCAAAAATTTTGTTGGCATTAAATGACCCACTGAGGTTTTGATATGCCATAAAACAAAACAACCAACCATGATATCACAGTTACATCAACAGTAAGTATGAATATAATAATATATAATATAATATAATATATTATATGATATTATAAGAATATTATATTATAAGAACTAATCAACGCATGAACTTGAAGTTTTATCTAAAAAAAAAACATCAAAAATTACCGCGAAAGCTTTCTGCTAGCACGCTATCTCGATGTCCTGATCGTATCCGTTGTGTCCAAGGAGAGAAAAAGCCAATAGAAGAAATTTGGTAACAAATAATTGTATACGTGTGTGTTGGAAAAACAAAGAATTACCATTTCCAATTCAACGAAACGGGTTCATATCCAGTGCTTCCTATTATTTACAGGTTCCGTTAAATGAGGTCAGATTCAGAATTGAAAAAAAAAATCATAACCTCTTCAGTTCTTTAATTCTCTCTGAGTACATAAATAATGATTGATTACTTGATTGATTTTTTTTACGGCTTATCAACCCTTTTCGGGCTATTTAAAGCTAGAAAACATTTTAAGATTGTATGAAAATAGTATGAATTGCAAGATTGAAGAAATTCCAACAGTTCTTCATTTCCTAATTTCAGAAATTTATTCATACAATCATCCAAGAATTGCAAATCTTGAAGTTATTCTTATATCCACATTTTTATGATTAATTCACAAATGAAATTTAAGATTTCTTCTCTGTAAAAATTCGTATTATTAAAACAAATTATTTTCGTTTTGGGAGAGAATAATGATTTAGTGACACAATTCTTACTAATTAAACCGTAGCTGATGGGGGTGGGGAAATGTATTCGTACCTTTCTCAAGGATAATTTACACGTAAGTGAATATGACGAACCCACCTGAAATTGGAACTCGGCTCTCCGATTAACAATTCCGAGCCATTATCCATTACACCACTCTCACATCCACGCTTACAACACCTGGTATTCCCAAGCGGTCACCCATCTAGGTATTTACCAAGCTCAACATTGCTTAACTTCAGTGGTTGTCAGGAAACCGGTGTTTCAAAGTGATATAATAAGTAATGATAATATCAACTCGAATATCCCGAACGGATACTGTAAATTTAAGTAGATAAAATCCATGTCCTGCGGTTTAAAGATTGGTTTGTAATTTCCTGTCCCTCAAAATCCAAGCTCGTGCCATTTCCTCACCACCCTGAAGACCCTGGAGAAAATTCAGGGTCTTCTGGTAATGAAAGGTCGCACTCCCAATAGGGTTCCTTGCTTTGTACTTTTGACCGTAGTGCTGCATATATTCTTGATGTTCATTGCTTTGAACTCAAGTACACTTCAGACCTGTCGCTCATATATACGATGTTGGTAAAATGGTCAAATACAAGGTAATGTTAGACAGCAGAAGATCGTGTTACACTATTATTCTAAGAGGGATGGACTTACTCGCTTTGAAAATTAATATCCAAAAATCCGTTTTTCTCTGCACTCAAATCCCGAACTCAACAATTGGTAGGAAAGGCGTAACTAATTCCGTTTCAATGTCTGATATCAATTATTTTTTAAGCAATCATTCCTCATCATTTTGATATCACAGCTACAACAAGAATACTTTAATAATTATATTTTCGGTAAAGCCAACACCCTCTGATGAGGAAGAATCAGGAAAATTCACCCTTGTGTATGCACAATGATGAATCTTCTTCATTCCTTTCTCATTGCTTGGTATTGATCGCTTTGTCTTTTTACGGCTTATCAACCATTTGTTGCTTATTTAAAGCCGAAAAAAGTTAGGATTGTAAGAGGTTGCCTTCAGTGCCTTGTGTTCCAAATCGGTTCCCATTAACAAACTTACCGAACTCGAAATTGCTTAACTTCAGTAATCGAACGAGAGCCGGTATTTTCTGTGTGACTTGACCATAGGCTAAATTTCACTCATCTTCTAGAAATGTTAATTTGTGGAAGAGAATCCCGAGAGGATGCTTTCTAGATCATTGTAATCTTAACTTCTTCATGTCTAGGAACAACCGTTATCTATCCTATGTATCATCATAATCTACAATTACTTTCTCCTTTTACGTCTATACAACAATCTCATTCAGCAATCTTTTACTGTGAGTGTCGTTTGGGCCTTATATTGAGTGAACATTTACTAAAAAATAAATATATTTTGTCAATAGACTTTCTAGCGCCACGAGCTTGGCAATATGAAATGGTTTTGATGAACTAAGTGACAATTATTTAGATTAAAATCAACGACTATCAATGAATCGCTAGCTAGTACCAACTATTATTCTAAATTTAGATTACTCACTACGACATTAAAACGTGTTCTCCTCTTTCTTACATGGTTAAATATATTTAGCAATAGAAAAAAAAACAACCTCGGTCTTAATTTATAAAACAAGATTTACTGCGGCTTTTTCCTCCTATTAAGAGTTCGAATGACCCGACAGAATAATGAAAATGACTCATCTAGAGACATCAAGATAAAAACGGTTTAGTGGAGAAGATTCACTTCAATGGCAATGATTCACTACAGATTTCCAAGATTTACTGGCGTTGTGTTTGTCCTGATTTCTTCATTAATGATATCAGTTACAACTTAGAAGCGAATCCAAGTAATAATATCAATGACTCATATCTGAAAACAGTTACGAAGGCCTAAGACTGCATTCATTTGAAGTCATCTCCTTGTCTTTTTGCTGATAAAAATACAGAATTATTAACTGACAATAGAATTACTAAATTTGTATTTTGATTTTTGAATATGTTTTTAATTTTTTAATTCATTCAAAGAGAAAAAGAAGTTTTCGTTATTTCCTAAATTAATCTATGCTCAGAATTCGCATGTAGGTTATCGGCTGGAAAATTGGAATTGATATGCCGAGTTAAAACTGAACTGAACCCTCAAGGACACATGGCACAGTGGATAAAAGCGTTGGTTAGATCCAGTGACAGGACCCAAAGAGTGAGAGTTCAATACCCGGTTAAGGCAGTGGAGAACTTTCAGAGGGGAATTAACAGGAGATAACTTACATCTATTAAAACATGGCACGTGGAACTAGAACAGTCTACCCCAGTAAGCGAAATAAAGGGTTCAGTTCGACATTCCAACCACCCGAAGAAGGCCGGAGCATACAACGACCGAAACGTTGTAATAAATATGGCGACAAAGATGAGGACAATAGTCTGAATAATGTAAATAATATAGATATGTAAGATCAAAAAATTGATTATATTAAACCAATTTCTATTTCTTTTAGTGTAATCACTAACGTAACTGCTTCTGCTGACATGAAGTGGAAAGATTTATTCTATTGAATCAATTGCCAGACCTACTGCTGTGAAAGTCGTGCAAGACAATTTTCCTTACCACAATTTATCTTCCATATTTATAAGTCACCATTTATATTTTATATATTATTTTATAATTCACCATTGATTTGAATATTGCTTCCACATCTAGTCTGTTGTTCCTGTTACATATTTAGAGATTCTTGATCAAGTAAAAAGAAGAATCTGCAATGTCATTGATCCTGATCTGGCAGCTCGGCTTCAATCACTTTCTCACCGCTGTAACGTAGCCTTTTCTATAAACACTTTGATGGTAATTGTTCTGATGAGCTTTCCTCTATGGCACATAGACTTTATGGAGGCTTCAATATTCTATCGTTGGCTAGATGTAACCGTAAATTCTACAATACTAGCTTCTTCTATCGTACTTCTCTCTTGTAGAACTCTCTTCTGGCTTTTGGTTTTCAAGTCAACTTCGTTATCTTTTATCTTCTTAATTTATCTTCTTATATTTTTTCCTCTCTCCTTAATAGTTTTTTTTTTCATATTCCATAACACCCAGTTAACCCTTGCATCTCAGTGGCTTTATTGCCTTGCTTTGGATGAGAAACTCGTTTTGAAATTTACCCATTTAAATTGGTTCCCAACAGAAAGTTGTCATTTCATCTACTGTAATTCTAAAATGACTTTGTTTTAGTAAGGCCATTACACTTTCTAATGATGGGTCATCACCTTAAATGTTTTATGGTCGGGGAATCACAGAAAAACAAAAACATACATCCGTCTGTAAAAGTGCCAGACTTCACTTAGTCCAAGAACAAGTTACCATAATAGTTGTTTTGAACGCTATGAACTCTGTTGAACTGGAAATGTTCATACAAAAGAAAATTAACTTATCGTCGACAAGAATGTAATGTTTTAAGCGCTTAAATGTTGTATTAATCGTTGAGGCGATGATGGCTCTGGCTTAGAGGTTTAATATAATGGTTTTGATTTCAGTGCTTATGATGAGAACAGTATTATTTAGGGTGACTAGTAATGAGGATGGCACTATTTTCCTTTATTTCTTCGTTTTGGACAATCTGGACAATAAACACCTGTGGCGCTGCAGCTCAGATCAAACACAAAGTTCGTTCTCAGGATTGCAACTTCTTCCAGTAAAACGCTGGTGACCAGATTGCTACCAAAAAAGTAAAAACATGAGCCAATTGTAACCTTCTGCTATAAACGAACGAGGTAGAAGTGAGGCAAAGTGAGGGGAGGTGAACAGACTAAGGGGCGTGTCTTCCTTTTCTAGGCACGGCGGTCTTTTGCACATTTATGTGGCTCCCTGTGTCTTTCTGTGTTCGGCTGCTAGTGAACACTCTCTCATAGAGAACACTTTGTCTTGTGACCTCTATCTAAAAAAATAATACATTAAGAACTTAGGGTCTAGCTTCTGTCAGTGACCTATTTTGTCAGGACCGTTTGATCTGGTTCTTTAGAGATCCTGAGACGTCCAGTTCATTAAGCTAACCTTCTTGACCAACAAATAATTGTCAAAGCGATTTGTGTGTTGCTTTGCTGTGGTACCTTAACAAGATCTTATCTAACAGGTGATATCGCTACACATTTTTTGAAAGTCTGAACTTAGAAAAGCCGAGAAACAGTAAGACTTAATCATCTGATTTGTTCTTGCTATTAATTGGGGCGTATGGTACGGAAAAAAAGTGTTTTATGGTTTAGATAATTTCCGACAGCCAGTATTTATCTACACGCATACCGGCTGTAGAATTTGGGTCGATTTTTTATCCTTAGTTTGCAATATACATCTATTGTTGTCAAGGGATTCGATGAATTGACTGATTTAAGATTAGGCGCAAAATTACTGAGCCTGGGTGGACGAACACCAATATTTTATCTATCATGCCGTGGAGCATTGACTATCAAGCTTGTCTCACAAATCATTAAAAAAAGCTCCAATACGTGTAGCCTTGTAAATCATTAAATAAACAATTCATGTTGAAGCATTATTTAGCAACTAGTCTCACGGAACCTTACAACGATATCGAATTTGATCATCACTTGTTGCTTCCACAATTGTAGCCTTGTGCTAGACTAAATTAAATTTAATAACTAACAAGGTTTCTCGCCATCACGAGTTCACGAGAGTTGTAACCCATTTACAGCCGTAAGTGCATAGCATATAACATAGCCGTAGCAACAGTGGGTATGTCTAGGACAATTTGTCCAGGCTAGTTTTGAATCCAGTGATGTCCTTCTCCTAGATTGACCACTAACCAAAAGTAGGGGACCGATAGCTGAGCGGAAGAGAAGAGACATATTCACGCCTTTCCTATTAGCATTTGTGCGAAAGTAAGCTAGACAGGCGAGCATAGAATTTGAACTCAGCATTACAACTTTAGAGTCGATATCCTTTACGTAACCCGTACACAACTCACTATTTAACATCCTTGATTACAGAAAAAGAGCTCTCAAAGACTATTAGAGTTGTTAACCTTAACCCTAACCCTGCTACAAAAGTGAAAGCATCAGGGAGTGCGGTCAAGCATGACAAGCAGCAGTGGCACTCATCAACAGGCAGGCTAGGTTTAAGGCTCCACGTTTTCCACAGAGAATTGTCACACGGGACAATACCCTAGTGAATTAAAGCGTTGGCTCGTGAATTTGCTGATATAGTAATTGTGAGTTCAATCCCTAGGACTCAGTGGAAAACAGAGTGCACAATAACTGAGCAGTACTAATAGTAAGAAGTAGA